TAGGTTTTTCAACAGGATGAAAGTATGTATAATTTGTGGACTTTAAAGGTGGTGATGGTTTGCTTTTATTATTTTCTTTGGATAAAGATTTAACTATTCTCCACCATTTTCCAGGGGGTATAGATTTATCTATTTGGTCTGAAAGTTTTTAGTTGAGTCTATGTCGTGAAGCTCTAATTTCATCAATTACTGTTTCTCAAAATGCGGTAGTGTTCCCATTGTTGAGGGTTTTGAGTTTTCACTGCTTTCTTGTGTATACGATTTCTTTTCATCATTAGTTTTCAAATAGAATTATTCATCAATGCTTTATCTCTGGGACTAATTGTTATGGTTTTCGTATGGATATGTTTTTTAATGCATGCATTTATTTTGTTTATAAAATCTGTATTTATCTCATTGATGTTATTAGAATTATCTCATTGATGTTATTAGAATTAAAGACTTCACTGTTCCAATCAGTTGCATTTAACTCATCATTAAGACCTTTATAATTAGCACTTTAATAGTCGCTTATCTCTCTTTTATAAGCATACTGTTTCAATATATGAAATTTAACTTACACTCCAGTTACAGAATGACTACTACAACATGGTCGATAGACATAACTCTCATTAATTATACCAGTGTTGTTGGTAATGATTAGATCTATGCATGTACCTACACTTCGAGTGAAATTAGTAGGTTCATGTATCAAATTCGAGAGACCAAACCTTTGTTAGAGAAGTTTAAACTGTGAACTTTGATCTGCCAAAACATTAGCATTAAAATCTCCTAATAGAATGATTGGTTAATTACATTCCAGTACCTTTTCAATATTGGAGCAAAAACTGTCCAAATAGTCTGCTAATGAATTGGGTGGCCTAAGCAATACACCAGCATTTTTTTTCTTAATAACGTGTACCTCTGACCATAAAATTTCTTATTTCTGTGCGATCATGAAATGCAAGTTGTTTGGATATATATATTCAACTCCTCCTCCATGCCTATTTCTGTCCAGACGAATAGGTGGATGAAATCCATTTATTGCTAATACCTCTTTTTCTATGCTGTCATCAAGATATGTTTCACTAATTGTTACAATATCAAATGTGATCGTTCTGCAGTTATAATATCAAGTTTTGGTATTAAGCTGCACACATTGTTGTGTGCTATTTACAATGAACAAAGTCTCATATTATTTGAAGGACCTGGTTTTTTTTTCATGCATCCAAGTATTAGGAGAATGCGAGCCCCGGTGACATGATAATGAATATTAGAATATTTATCACTGTAGTTGGTTATATACAAAGGGATAAATAAAAAAACTACTTACTATCCATGGCTTGGATATACTAATCACACATTCAACCATTGGTATCAAAAATAAGAATATATTCAGGGAAGATAGAAAACAAAGCCCTGGGTTGTGGAAATCTGTATAAAACCGGATATAAATAATGGAATACTAAACATAGAACCAAATCCGCACAAATACTAGAAAAATAAATGTGCGAAAAACAAAACAAGAAAAAATATATATACAAACTAAAGAAGAAAAGAAATGTCTTGAAGGAATCTCTCGTATTGTGATGACAAACAATACGAAGTAGTAATATATTTATAATGAAAAGTATGTACAAAAGCCTCATTACATGTGAGTACATGTATACAATATAAGCGTAGTTGCTCCGTAAAATATCGAAATAATTAGAAAATCATTAATTAGACGTGTTAAAAATAATTTTAAATTGTATGATGAATAGAATATTATAAATATATCAATATATATTAATATATATTTATATATATTAATATATTAATATAGATATATATAAAGTACACATATTATAAACGCTTAAACGCAAATTAAGTCAAATCATGTTAAGAGGCCGTGTCAGTAACCATTGAGATTTACATGGAAAGTCAAAAATTTTGAATTGGGCAAAAACCACCCTAAAATATTTGAACAACAACAAAAAACACATTTAAGACAAATTTTACAAATTTATTCATCATCATTGGTTTCCATGGCAACAAATGTGATTTGCATAGTAAATTCTCAATGAAACATTGTAAAATAATACAAATTTAGACATATTTAAATGCAGAGGAGGGAACAATTGGAAGGTCTAAATTTGTTTTCTTATACTGAAATAATGAAAGATGCATCAAAGAAAATATCTTCATGTCTGTAAGTATTTTCAAAAATTTTGATATGGTTGCTATGGCAACCGAAAAATGACAAGGTTTTCATGATGGGAATATCCATGGAAAATTAAGTTTTTTCAAAAGTTGAATACTTAAAAACGCAACAACCGTAGATATTGTATGTCATATAAAGTTAAAGATATATCCCAATACTATGAAATAATAAAATAAAAATTGGTAGTCGGATGTCCCAATTTTTTTTTTCAGAAATCAAAATTTGCATTTTTTCAAAACACTTTCAATGGATTTTCGCAAGTTTTGGCAATTTTTTTTTAATATTACAACAGATATTTAATAGTTAGATGCCATATCTACAGAAACATAGTACTTTACAAAAAACTCCATAAAATGTACGACTTTTTTACAAAACAATAGGAAAAGTAATCTCCATAGCAACGGAATTTATACCCTAGCAACTGACTTGACTAGGATCGGCAAAACATGAAACATACACCCAGGAAATTAAAGCCTCTCAAGTGGAATATTTGGGTCATGGCATCCTGATCAACTGTCAACCCTGTTGTACTTACCCCATCATATAAGTAATAATAAGTACCATTGCTCTACAATGTCTAATAGTTATACAATATAGTCAGAATGTGGACCAAATACGCAAAAACTTGACCATATATGACATAACAAAAGCTGAAGTTATATGTCAAAATGACGCAATGTTCAACCCAAAGGGACTCCAATGCTGTCTACTGGCTAATTTACATTGCTGTACCATGTTTATTATTCAAGTTATAAACCTAAAAACAACTAGAACTGACTGTCCAAATGGGACAAAATACCCCCCCCCCCTGCTGGGTTTTTCAGAAGTTCTAAATCATGAATATTTTATGGATCGAAGAGAAGAGAGAAAAGCTAAAACATTTTAGTGCAAATGTAATTGCTCATTAATTTCTTTTATAAATGAAACGAAGGTGCAGCCTAAAAATAGACTAAATGTATGGATCACACATGAATTATGAATTTTTTTTTGTCAGTGACCTTGAACTTGCATAAATGACCTTGGTTTAAAGTCATGACAAGTTCTCAGGTCAAAGCAATGTTTGTGTAAAATGGGAACCTTCTAAGTTTATCCATAAGAAAGATATGGACCAGACATGAATTATAATTTTTTTACTGTCTGTGCCCTTGAACTTAGACAATTGACCTTGGGTCAAAGTCATGACACACCCTTATGTCATAAGTAATCTTTGTGTAAACAAGAAAGTATCCAAGTTTATCAATAAGAATGATATGGACCAAAGGCACAAATTATGAAGTTTTTCCTTTCAGTGACATTAAACTTACACAAAGAACCTTGGGTCAAGGTCATGACACATCCTCAATACAATAAGCGATTTTTGTGTAAAACAGGAACTTACCAAGTTTTTCCATAAGACAGATATGTACAAAACATGAATTATGAACTTGTTGCTTTTATAACCTTGAACTTGCATAGATAACATTGCATCAAGGTAATGATACACCCTTAGGTTATAAGGAATCTTTATGTGAAATAGGAACTAACCAGTTTACCCATAAGCAATATATGGACCATGCACATATTAAGAAATTTTCCTTTCAGTGACCTTGAACTTAAATAAACTTTGCTGAAGGTCATAACACACCAGGTCATAAACCCTCTTTGTGTGAAGTAGTAGATTCAAGTTAATCCAAAATAAAGATATGTGCCAAACATGAATTTTACAATTTTTCTTTTAGTGACCTTGAACATGCACAGATGACCTTGGGTCAAGGTCACGACACACCCTTAGGTCATGAGGAATCTTTTTGTAAAATGGGAACTTACCAAGTTAATCCATAAGAAAGATATGGAACGGACACAAATAATGAAATTTTTCTTCCAGTGACCTTGAACTTCCCCAAATGACCTTGAGTCAAGGTCATGACACACTCTTAGGTCATGAGCAATCTTTGTATGGAGTAGTAGATTCTAATGTTCCTCCGTAAGAAAGATATGGACCGTACATGTTTGCACAGCTAGACAGAGGGACGGACGGATAGACAGATAGACAGATAGACAGACAAGCTGATTCCTATATACACCCCCCCAAACTTCGTTTACAGGGGGTATAATGAGAAGTCATGCCTGTTAAACACAAGACGACCTTATACTTATTCAAATGAAAATAAACCTTAACATCTGCAAGGCTTGTGAAAATGTAGTTTACAGCAACTTTATATTTCAAGTTTTATCTTATTTTACTATCAAAGACCAATCAACTGGTCAAATATCAATGCTCACTAAAAGTATCACAGATATAAACGTAAAACAAGAGTTTTCCATTGAAAATGTGTGTCTCAGGAGTCAGGAATGACATATCAAATTGTGACAGACAGATAGACTGATGGTCAGCTAGTCAGACTGACAGACAATGGAGAAGTGATCCCTAGGAGTCCCCTTGCTATGCAGGCGACACAACTAGGCACCATTACAGCATATCTTGTACCTGATTCTGAGACTGAATTTTTTCTTAAGTGTACAGTCAAATATTTTACAGAAATACTTTGCTAGAAATAATAATATATCGTATAAGTGGAAATTTTAGCGAGATGCAAATTTAGCGATTTCTACCAAAGTCTGGTATTTTATTTTTAGCCAGAAGTAATTTTAGCGATTTTAAAATGTTTACTAAAGAAGCTATTACAAATAATAAGACATTAATTTTTAGCAATATTCAATTTTAGCGATGTCAGCACCATCTCTAATAATTCCAAAATTAAATCCTCGCTAAAAATTCTACTTATACAGTATGTTCTTCAGAGTACATTTATGCACAATAAACAAGAAGTATGGCACATTTGATTTTAGATATTATCTATTTTAACCAACTAGAGCTAGAGCAGTATAATCCAAGTGTTGTCCACAGACAGATGGACAAACAAACAGGGTGATTCCTATATCCCCCTTCCAAAAACTTTGATATCAAAATCTTAAACTTAGTAAGAAAATGTTTTTTAGTTCACTGCTTTAAGAGCCATATCAGAAATCTGATTCAAATTGTTCATGTTCCCTTCAGCTGTCAAGTCATTTTCTTCACAGTCAGTGTTAGACTTCTGCCTTTTCACCAATGGCATCAAGATACATAATCAAGGTCTTCCTCCTATGTAATGGACTATCTTCATGCTCTTGAGAATCCTGGCTTTCAGATGACTTTCACAAGGTGTTTGGAAAAGTTGTCGTCTGAAGTTGATTCCACCTACAAAAGAAAGATACAAAATCAATCCAACTAACAACTTCATTTAAAACAAGTTCATTTTGACACAAATAATACTCATGCTGAGACAGTGTTTCACAGCCCTGAGCCAAAGTCACACCTTCAATGTCAAGGTCAAGGTAAAATTTGAAGGAGTTTTCAGGTCTGTATTTCTATATGCCTCATGGAACAGCTTCATACTTGGCATACAATGCTCCTAATGATAAGTTGGTGTGCCATGACCCTAACTCAATGTCAAACTTCAATGCTAAGGTCACAGTAGACTTCAATGAAATTGTCTTATCTGAAATGCATTTCATACCTGCCTCAAAAGCACAGCTTACATGACACAAATGTGCCTCGTGATATAAGTCTTTAACAACCTTTGACAGAAGACCAGGTGAGCAATATGGGCCCATTTTAGGCTTCTTGTCTGGGTTTAAAATATGAAGTTCATAGGTCAAATGGATTTAAGTTATTGAGTCACAATCCTTTCAAGTTTGAAGTTTCCAGGACATATAGCATTTGAGTTATCTCTCAACAAAGAAATGGATGAACAAAGTGATTACCGGTACTCTTTGAGGCTGGGCTCTTAAGAATAAGCTGGCTCTTAAGAATAAGCTGATGCTCAAAGTAGTTCTAAACAATTCAGTACATGTAAAAAATTCAGTACAAACCTCTATTTGTTCCATATGCTTTGAATCTGGTTGTACTTCATGGTTATTTGGTAGTTCACATAGCAGCTCATCATCATCATGATTCTCCTGAAAGTATTTCATATCTGTTTACAAATTTACATGACCCTACTGCATATAGTTGCTGGTTCTTTATAATAAACAAGCTGATGCTTAAAGTAATTTAAAGCAAGATAAGTTTGTGAAACAGTATGCCCCCAGCGTCAACAAATATAGAAAAGCTAGTTTTAGCAAAAAGATCAAGGTCTAAAGGTTACTGATGTTGGTGTAATCTAAAAGAACTTAATTAGTGGATTATGTATACCAAATATGATCTCACAGTTCAAAAGTCATGGTAAAGGTTAAAGCTGACAACAGATAGACAGAAAGGACAAACAAAAATATGTTCATGCTCTTTGGGCATAATAATTCAGTACATGTAAAAATTTCAATACAAAGGACAAGATAGGGTAGCAGCCGAATCTGGCCCCTTATTTGATATAAAAATCAGAACACTGGTAAAACTGTGATAGTTTGTAGTTAAGAAGTTAAAATGATGCTTACTTCAAGACAAGCACTAATTTTGATTCAAAGCCTACATGGCAGCCACAAGAGGGTGCAGAAATAGGACATTTTCCCGAATTTCCTCAATTCTGGTGGAATTTCATCATATTTGGGATACATTTCTCTTCAGAAAACATAGAGCACACGCTTGCCTATCTGAGATTTTTACATATATACTGCATCTGATATCAGTGTATAAAATATATAAATTTAGTAGATAGGCAAGTGTGTGCTCTATGTTTTCCGAAAGAAAATGTGCTGTAAAATTAGTGAAAAATTACATAAAAATGAGAAATTTCGAAAATTGACCTATTTCCTGACCTCACTGTGACCCCTGTATTTCCTACATCTTAAAACCAACACTCATTATGTGTCAGGGGTGAAAACAGGTTTTCATGGATAAACTGTTGCATCATTCTGAAAGACACCCCAAATCGGGGGCCAAATACTGTTCTTACCCTATCTTGTCCTTTATTTGTTCCACATTAATTGGATCTGCTTGTACTTCATGGTTATTTGGTAGTTCACATTGCAACTGATCATCATCATGATTCTCCTGAAAATATTTTAGACCTGTTTACAAACTTACTTGAGCCTATAGCATATATAGTGACTGGGATATGATATATTAAGACATTAAACTGGACAAAGGGGATACTCCAATACTTGATATCGCGATTACTTAACTTAGTGGAACTCTTTCGCGATGGAGGTAGGGAACGTCTGTTGGCTTGGGACAAATGTGCTATTGAATACAATGCAAGATCGATCATTGTAGAATTTTTGAGGACAGATAAGTAAAAAAATCCTGGTGGAATACCGTCCTTAACAATCGCTGAACCAGCCTAATTAATTTTTGAGAGGAGCTAATCCTTCAATGTTACATTTTTCACGATATTTTTAACTAAGCGGGCTCTTCTCATTAAATTTTCATTGAAAATCATGGCATTTTAAAGCTGATAAAATAATCTAAACTTTCCTTATTTGACAATCTACTATTTGGAATTCAATTCTTGGCAATACATTGTACTTTCGGCATAAAATTGTTCAAATCATTCGATTGTCACTACTGTAAACAATGCCATTGTGCCCCTGTAATCTCGTGAGATTCGAGCTTTCTCGACTCCCCCCCAAAAGAGTGGTAGTAAGTTAGATAACTGCGAGGTAATCGCGATATTACATATTTAGTCTCACATTTTCAGAATTATCGTATTTGGAAATTGTGCCCAACCTGATCAAGGGCTTAGGAGGAATAGCACCCCACCCACTCCTTACTTATTTGGGAAGTCAAAATTTCCTGTAGTTAAAATTTATAAATCCTGGTTCCCCTCCCCTCCACTTTAAGGGTCAGGAGCAAATTTTGAAACCAGAGTTGAGTCTGTTATCCTAGTTTCCCTTCCCCTTTTCAAATCAATATTAGCAACCTCAAGTTTTATCATCTTGTTTTGGTGTAGCTGCAGAACTGTAGCTCTCCGAAAAAATATATATTGGTAGACCTGAGATAATGAGGTATAGCGGGTATGGCTATGAATTTTAAGAAATATTGTTTGAAATATTACTTATCAAAAGAACACTAATACGCAGACATACATGAGTGGAAATCTACCAATTTGACCTTATCAGTGATTGATGAATATGCTCTAAATAATAAAGTCTAAAATATCTGGCATTTTCCAGTTTTTTTTTTTTTTTTAATATTTTCTGTGCCAGGAAAACGTCAGAACCAGCGCCATTACGAAAACTGGAAATTTCGCCATTTCCAGTCAGAGTTGATTTCCCATACTTGGGAACCGCATTAAATGCCGTTGTCACAATCTATCAATGGCACAATGCTTTTAGTACTTGACAATATTAAGGGGGATGTACAAGCCATATTTGATCAAGTCTGGTGTAAAATAAGAAATACCAAGAATGCTCTTAATACTCTACCAAACTAGCCCAAAGTTACTCAAAGTGCTAATGTACTCATAACCTACTGTTAGAGACCAAAATTAGTAAATAATTAAGTTTATTTTGTTTTAATTAGAAGGAAATTAATCAGGTTAGAACTGCGCAGCTACAGCATTCACGAGATGATAAATGCATCGAAAATGATGTCAGTTCGGTTCATTAATAATATGGCTACAACCATTTGTTTCGCTTTTTTCTTGTTATTATCCATAATTCTTGTAAATTTCATTTTTCATATGGGGGTGTTCTTGAGGTCATATATTTATTGCGTCCGCCATTCCTCTGTCACACAGAGTTAAAAAAAACATTGAATTTAGAATAAATGCGACCATAACAACATCAAAACAAGAGATTACTAAGTGATAATCCTAAGGTTATATAACTTACTACTTTTATTTGTTGCATCGCACCGTCTGATTAATGAAAAAATGCAATTTTAACCCCAAACCAGCAAATCGGGAAAAACTGTTCTGTTTAAAGCTCGAGTTTCCTCGCTCATATTATTCCACTGAGCACGTGGTTGGCATGTGCATATATCTAATGTGAATAGATTCGTTTATTACCATGATTATATTTAATTTTTCATGGAACAAGTCTTTATAATTTGTTGGTTTCTCCAAAACTCAAGAAAAAAGATTAAAAATGTCCTAAACATATGTGTTTACGGTCGGTCTCTTTTCTTTGGCGATAGAAGTTATTTTCAAATGGGGCTCTGTAAGGAGGATACTTAGCTTTTAATTTGAAAATGTTAAACGATATGCCGTGCATGAAAAACAAATTGTAATTAAATGTATTACATTCGAAAAGTTGGTACACCTGTCAATGTTTTTTAGCAGTTAGATAGAAAAAATAGTCAGTTATAGGATTTCCTTCAGACACCTCACATAAATAGCTAGATTGTTTGCGATGACCCACACATTGTATGGAGTAATGTTTGGACATAAAAACACATCACGTCTCATTATGTTGACCATGTTGTAAGCTCTCATTAACATACGAAGTTTGGGAAAATACATTGAGTTGTTTCTTTGAAATTTAGAAGCGAGCACAATGTTTACAAAGAAAGGTTCATTGCATTATGCTATGCCTATCTTCGCAAAAAAAAGCGTGAGAGGCTACCCCCCCCCCCCCCCCGAAAACCCTATGTTTGTTTTTCAGAATAGTGCCAATGCTTCAGAAATTTTGCATTACTAAGTATGTGATGGAACATGTACTATAGCCGTATATTGTTAAGACCACGTTTTATAAAAATATTTGGTTGCCCTTTCTCCCGACCTACTTCCAGAAATGACCCGACTCAATTTTTTTTTTTTTTTACATTCCATTACAAGATATTTTTTTCCTTTTTTTTTCGTTAACAAATATGTTTAAATTTTGAGGAAGATTTTTTTTTCTCACCTATAAATACGGACCCAATAATTTTCCCCTGAGTTGGGAGGACCATCAAGCGTCATTTTAAAGATGGTCTAAAATAATTAATCATGTTGATTTTTTTTCTTTACTCTGTAAAATTGTAATTTTGACAATATGGGCAAATAGAAAAAAAAGTATTTTTCATTCAGTAAATCTCCTAACCCACGCTGAATGATTTCATTCCTATTCAAATGGTACTTCGATGCATGTGAATAAATTTGTAAATGTTTTTTGACACAGTATACTAGTAGGTACTAAAACAAGGTCATTCATATCGATTTTGTGTTTAGAAGGAATATAGGGAGATAACAAACAGTATTCAGTCTCAAAGTCCATAAAACAATACAAAATAAGAACAGAGCAAACACGGACCCCGAAACATCATAGGTGGGATCAGGTGCTATGGAGGAGTGAGCATCCCATGCCGACCGATCCAATTTTCTCTGTGTTTCATTTGATAGATAAAATAAGTTATCTGTGGCAGACTTTTTCAATTTGATGGCGCTCATTTTTCCTTATCTGGAACCAAAGAGTTTAAGAATTTTTTTTATACCAACAAGTATTTAACAACTGTTTGATAATAATACTAATTATTTAAGCCACACTATAACACATTTCCTCTTTTAAAAGTGTGCTTATCATTTGAAACATTTTGCAACTAAAATTCTCTTCTACTTTTTAAGATTATTATGTGCCTCCGTATTAAGAAGAGGTCTGGAAAACAAAATTCTGTGCTAAAAATAGACCACGTGCTGCTATCCATGAACTACTTTCATGGTTCTTTACACTCATTTTGAAGACAACAGTACCATGTTTTGAACTTGAAATAGCCATTTAAAAGTGCACAATTTAGACATTTTCTCAACAAATGGTTGTAGAGAGAATATTAATGCACGCTTTGCATATTTTTTTGGATTTTTTAAGGCTCTGCTGAATTCTGTAGCTGCGCAGTTCTAAAGAGCATATCAAAAGCATTTTTCTGCATGAGTATAGATTATACATGCACAATATGCATTCAGTTATGCATATTTATTGTATCTTTATCATTAGGACTTAAAATTTGATCAAAATATAATGTATTTTAGCCATTTGAAGAAATGTTTACATTTTGTTCTTACTGCACTAAGGGTGGCCGGACATCCCCCTTAATGAAAAGAAAATAATC